GGGGGGGGTTCCCCGGGGGGGGCCCCCCCCTCTTTTCCGACCCCCCCCGTTCCTTCCTCTCCGTCTTAGCTGTTACTGCTTTGTCAAGGGTTGGTTGACTCGTGACTTGCTGACTAACCTCTCTATCCTGCGTTTCGGTTTTTCTTTCGATGTTTCCCACTGTTTGTGTTTATTTTGTTCTCGTTTTTTCTATCTTCTTTTTTCCCTATCTCTTTCTTACCTTTTTTTGTTGTCAATTTCCTTTTCGTGCTGTGTGATTGTATTTGTTCATTCTAGAAAGTGCTGTGTTCAGAAGCAACTTGGCCGTCTATTGCTCGTCGCTATTCTTGGCTGTTTGCTATGCTGTAGCTCGATCGAAGCTTCTTCTTTTCCCCTCTGCTGGTTTCTGTGATGTCGTTTGCTGTCGATGGTCGATGCGATGGGTGGCCGGGGGGGGCGAGGTTCCACTTTTGTTTTTAGGGGGCGGGGGGGGGGAAGGGGAGGGCGGCGAGGTTCCACTTTCCCGGATGCTCTTCAGAATTATGTTATGCAGTTCATCTATGTAACTGGATCCGAACTCGGGCCGTTATGTATTTCACAGAACAAAAAAAGGGAAGGAAACGGAGAATAGTGCCGGTATTTGACATCCTGTGGAATGACGAAACATTTTGTCTATTTTCGTACAAGGAACGGGAGGAGGGCAGTGACCCACTGTGTTTCATTCGGAGTTTCACCCACTGATGATCCGTCAAGAGTCTGAACCCGCTACAGTCCGCTGAGTCGTCGAACCGATGCGACGCCAGGCGATGACCTTAATGGGACCGTCCTCCTCATATTTCTGCCTGCATTTTGCACAGACCTGGGCAGTATATGATGGCACTCGTTCGTGCAGCTACCCAGTGGGAAATGTGGAATGGTGGGACGATGATTCAGGCTATTTCTTTAACATAAATGAATGAATTTTTGCGTGCATTGCCGAATCCAACTTATTCTGGATTGTTGACCGACTCTCGTGTGACACCTGTCGGGACAGGGACGCGGTGCGCCTTGGCTGTGGAATTCATCATCTATGCCATAGCCATTATCAGTCTATTGAGACTGCCGCCGTCTGTGCTGAAGGGTGTCCAACGATTCCTCATTGTACACATCCCTATCACCCAGACATTCGTTGTCCCTTTCGTGCGCAAGGACGCTATCAGGACTGCATGATGTCGCACTGTGATGAACGTCCTGCTGTTTTTTTGACGTGTGGACAGCATGTTCTTTGTCAGGACTGTTTTGATGGGATGGTCCGTGCTAGCCGTCCTGTTGAATGCTGTGCTGGGGCAGCTTTCCTTGGGTATCCTTGTGAACATCCACGTCATCCTCAGCGTGCATGTCCTATCTGCCGGGGTGGGGGCTCCTCTTCCTGACTGGTCAATAGAATAATAAAGCAGGTCAGGAGCAACACTAATTGTAGGACAGAGAGCTTTTGACACTACCAACAGATACGGAGTTGAAGGAAGAAGAAATAAAAAATTGAAAAAACGAAAAGAAAAGAAACAAAGAAAAAGAGGAAAAAAGAAAAAAAAAAGAAGAAAAAACGAACAAATTGCTGAAGAAAAGAAAAAAGAAAACAAGAAAAAAAAAAATGTTGAACTTCGTTGTGAGTGGCAATTGGGATGTGTCATTTGCTTTGTTTTACTGATAGGCCTTCTTCCTCTTCCCTTGTCCTTTCTTTCTTTGACTGGATCCCTTTCTCTTTCTCTTGCCTCTGTGAGGTTTGGTTTCCTCCTTTTCTTTACCTCTTTCTTTGCCTTTTGGCTGCGTGCAAGTGGGTCCTTGTGACACACGGGGATGGGGGCAGCCAGCGCTCAACCTGTCATCCACGTGGCTGGCCTTGTACGTAAGAGGTGATGAACAGGCGGAGCTTTCCTTCTTTCCTTTTTTGTTTTGTGTTTTTTCGTCTTTGCGCTCCGATTCGCAGTGTGGCAATATTGCTTCATGTGGGACCAGTCATCCGGTTTTTTTTTATTGTCTTGGTATCCTGGTTGGTTGTTTCTCGTTGTTCGGCCCTTTGAGCGCGGGGCGGTGCTTGTACGTGGGAATCGTCATCTGGGATGGGTTCTTTTTGGTACTTTTCTTGTTTTTTTTTTTGCAGACAAGAATGCTTGACATCCTGGTTGGTCTTGTCCCGTCGTTTGGCCTGTGGGCAGGGGCGGTGCTTGCATGTGGGACTTGTCATCTGGGATCTGTTTTGTTGCCCCCTGTTCTGTTTTATTTGGATGTTCCCTTCCTCTYTTCTTTGCCTCTTTGCCTTTTGGCTGTGTGCAAGTGGGTCGATATGACACACGGGGGTGGGGGCAGCCGCCGCTCAACCTACATCCACGTGGGCGGCCTTGTACGCAAGAGGTTCTGAACAGGGGGAGTCTTGTAAGGAAGAAGATTAAAAACGAATTAAGTTTTTTTTGTTTTCCTTGTTTTCTTTCTGTTTTTTCGCTTTGGCGCTCTGATATCATGTGACAATATGTAAACAGTTTGTCACAGCCGCTCCTTTGTTGTCCTCTTCTCCCTCCCTCTCTGCCTACGGTTTACCGGGCAGCTCTGTTTGACGATATATAGATAGATAGATACAGTCGCTTGTGATGGGGTGTGAACCGACAGTCTGTAGAGTTTTCCATCTGGTGTGGCTGAGTGATAGTCTGCTTTGATTTTTGTCACAGGTACCTTGAGGGCGGTGGTTGGTGGTCCCCACCACCTCAGGGTATCAGTTGTCGGGCAGTCGTTGATGCTTAACCACAACCAGGGTTAAGGTGGATTATCACTTACTTAGTGTAATCAGTTAGGTAGGGGATTCTGCAGACTGTTGAGGGTTCAGCCTCCTGATGAGTCAGTCGCCGAAACTCCGACGAAACAGTTTTGTCACAGCCCCTCGTTTGTTGTCCTCTTATATGCTACTTGTACCTCTGTGGCCTTACCTATTGTCAGCATTTATATTAGTCCAAATTTTTGCTTATTTGCCTGCATATGTATGTATGATACTTGAAAAATATACTGCATACATAGTACTAAATACAGTATTATTGTACGTAATAGATTGTACTGAATACAGTATTATTGTACATAATCCATAGTACTGAATACAGTATTATTGTACGTAATCCGTAGCACTGAATACAGTATTATTGTACATAATCCATAGTACTGAATACAGTATTATTGTACATCTTTGGAGAAGATGTACGTACTGAGTCTACTGACTACTGAGTCTACTGACTAATGAACAAATAGCACATAACATAGAGAGGCGATCGCAATGAGAGTACATAGCACTGAATACTGTATTCAGTGCGATCGCCTGTCTATCTATGTTATGTACTATTCGTTCTGTAGTACTTCTCTTGCCAGCTATGTTCGTCGAATCTTGCCGCGATTTCGACGTCCTGTGAGCCGAAATGTCCGTAATATTCTCATTGCGAGCAACAATTTCCCGGCTCATTTTTGGGAGAAGATGAACAAATGTCTGAACTGTGTTTTTTTTTTTGGTTTTCCGGAACTGTGTTTTACTTTGATCGAGTAATGCATCTTTCAGCCAGAAGAAGAACTGTCAACCTAAAAGGAGAAACAGCAAGAAAAAGGTAGAAGGGAAGAGAGACGAGTAAAATACGACGTACGAGAGCATCCCCCTAACCCCCCCGCTTCCCCCCCCTTCCCTTTCAGCAAATCGATGGGTTCCATGGACTGAGTGAGCCGAAGTAAGAGAGTGTTCTGTTGGGTACCCAATTGAGAGATCCCGATGAAACTCCTGTGTGTGTTGGTTGTTGTCTTTTCTTTTCTTTTCTTTTCTCTTTGCCTTTTCTGTTGTTAACTCGAAAGTTTTTTTTTTTTTTTCAAGATTAAGTCGACGAATAATGAGCGATGACGAAAGTAGTGAATACCAAATTACTACCAATGCAGTAATGCGTAGCGAGAACAATATTTTTCTGTCGTTTGCCATAGCGAGCGAGCGAGCGAGCCAATCAATGTACACAGTAGAAGACTCTCTTCCCCTCCCCTCGCCCCCCCCACCTCAAAAAAAAAAAAGAACTCGGAGCGTGGTATGGAAACTTTTCGATTTTTTTTATTTTTTTTTGGGTTGTAATAGTTTTTATTTTTTGCAGGTTACGCACTCGGAGCGTGGTATGGAAACTTTCCGTCGGTTCATTTTGGAAATAGCAGGAGCGAAGGCCGACTGGAACATGGAGGATGTGATGGAGGAGCAGATCAGGGAGGTCAGGAGAGTGGTCGGGACAGAACAGCACGCCATATGTGCGCTCTCAGGAGGTGTGGACTCCGCCGTTGCTGCCACGTTAATACACAAGGCGTTGGGAGACCGGCTCCATTGTGTGTTTGTCGACAACGGACTTCTCAGGTACGGAGGAAAAACAAAGGAAAGAAGCAGAAGCTGAAGCCGTAACAGAAGAAAACGAACGAGGAGAATAGTGACAAAACATTAGTCGAAGAAGAAGAAGAAGAATGGTACTTAGTAGTAGTAGCAGAAGCAGTAGTAGAAGTATCAGTAGTCGTGGTGATGCTCGTGGTAGTAGTAGCAGCAGGAGTAACACCAGTGTAGTTCTAGCAATAGCAGTAGTAGAAGCAGTAGCAGTGGTTAGTAGAGGCGGCAGCAGCAGCAGCGGTAGTAGAGGCGGCAGCAGCAGCAGCGGTAGTAGTAGTGGTATAGTATAGCATAGCAGTGGTAGTAGCAGCAGCAGCAGCAGTAGTAGCAGTAGCAGTGGTAGTAGCAGCAGTTGTAGTAGTAACAGTAGCAGTGGTAGTAGCAGCAGCAGCGGCAGCAGTAGTAGTAGTAGTAGTAGCAGCCGCAGCAGTAGCAGTCGTCGTAGTAGTGGTAGCAGTAGTAGTACTAGTAGCAGCAGCAGCAGCAGCAGCAGCCGCAGCCATAGCAGTAGCAGTGGTGCTAGCAGCACGAGTAGTAGTAGTAGTAGTAGTAGTAGTAGTAGTAGTAGTAGTAGTATCAGTCGTTGTTGAAGAAGAAGAAGAAGAAGAAGAAGAAGAAGAAGAAGAAGAAGAAGAGGTTGACTTCGTGAAGAGATGGCATGGAGGTAATTTGAGACATGGTGCAAATGTTATTGTTGACAACATGAAATCGATCCACATGTGAAACTTCAAGCCACGGGCAGTGGGAAAAAAGAGGAGGCGAACCAGGAGCTTGTGAGGCATGTCCTCGAGCAGGATGAGCACTGAAAAGGAGGCGCCGAGCCAGGAAATGAAGAGGRAGGAGAACAATGGGTGATGGAGCTGGCCGGACGGGCGGTGGGAAAAAAATAGGAGGCGAACCAGCAGCTTGTGAGGCATGTCCTCGAGCAGGATGAGCATCGAAAAGGAGGCGCCGAGCCAGGAAATGGAGAGGAAGGAGAACAATGGGTGATGGAGCTGGCCGGGTATTGCACAGTTTTTTTTTAATACTCGATTTAATAATTTGGACCATTTCCGAATTGTTTTGCGGGATATCCGTGAAAATTGGCACGATATGAAGAATGAAAGATTAGCATTTCTCAGAACGAGGATATTCTAAAATCATCATTTTCTTGTTTTATTCCTTTTTCTTTTTTGTAGTGGTGATTCATTGAGTGGACACGTGATATTCATCGCATGTAGACGTGGTATATGTGGATACGCAGCATTGTGTTGACGCTGCATTCATTGTGTGGACACTTGGCCTTGATTATTGTTCACGTCTCTAATCCACGATGTGCATTTGACTGGGACTGGGACTGGGACTGGGACTGGGACTGGGACATAGTGGACTGCGGTGAAATTCTTTCATAAAGTAATTGCATTGGCTGGACATGTGGCATTGTGTGAACACGTGGGGTGACGTGGCATTGACGGGATTCGGGGCATTGTGTGGACACGTGGCCTTGGTTATTGCACACGAATCTGACACCAAGATGCACATTTGACCGGGACTGGGACTGGAACTGGAACTGGGAGAGGGGGGACAGCAGTGAAATTCTTTCATTTTGTAAATGAATGGACTGGACATGTGGCATCGTGTGGGGACACATGGCATTGCGTCCACACGTTGCACACGCAGCATTGCATCAACCCGTGGCACACGTGGCATTATGCGGATGCATGGCACTGACGGGATACGTGGCATTGTGTGGACACGCGGCATGGGCTGTGTGCAATCCTCAGGTATCAGGAGAGGGAACGGGTGATGGCGACGTTTGAGAGAGATATGCATCTGCCTGTGACTTGTATAGATGCATCTGAGCAGTTCCTTTCCAAGCTGAAAGGTGTGACGGATCCGGAGAAGAAGCGGAAGATCATCGGTGGAGAATTCATTGCCGTGTTTGAAACGTTTGCATTGACGATGGAGAAAACTTTGGGGAAGCGTCCCAGATTCCTGGTGCAGGGCACACTTTATCCGGATGTCATCGAGTCGTGCCCTCCTCCAGGGAGTGGGAAAAAGCACTCTCACACGATCAAGAGTCATCATAACGTTGGCGGTTTGCCAAAGGACATGAAGTTTAAGCTCATTGAACCTTTGAAGTGGCTCTTCAAGGATGAGGTAATTAAATAGGTCAACCAGTCGGTCAACAGATTACTCGTGGCACCTGGATCTCCATCATTGACTAAGGAGGAGTGTTTTGTTTTGTTATGTTGTATTGTGGTTTGTTCTTTTTCCTTTTTTTTTTTGTTCTTTTGTTCTTTGTTTTGTTTTGTGCTTTCTTCTTGTGCGTGTGGAAGGCACACTGTGCGCGGCCTCTTGTTTGCGGTTGCCTCTGTGGAAAAATGAACCAACCTGCCAACGGATGACATGTGGCACTTGAACATTAGCTCTTGTTTGTGGTTGCCTCTGTGGAAAATGAACCACTGTCGACCGATGACACGTGGCACTTGAACCTTTTCTTTAGACTTTTGGCTGTGGAAGGCACATCACACCACCTCTCCTTTATGGTTGTCTCTGTGGAAAATGGAGTCTATCTTGGAACTGAATGCGGGCTCTGCTGAATCTTTGGACTTGGAAATGGACTGTATCGTTCAAAGGATCCGTATCTGAATGGAGGAGGAGGATGCTCTGCGTGTGTGTGTGTGTGTTGGAATCTGAGGATATGGTTTATGTGGACTGTGTGTCAGGTTCGAGCACTTGGGGCGTTGTTGCAAGTTCCAAGGTCGTTTTTAAAGAGACATCCATTTCCCGGACCTGGGTTGGCGGTGCGAGTACTCGGTGACGTAACAGCTGGGGATGCCCTGCAGATTTTGCGAGAGGTAATAATAAAAGTAATACAAAGAGTGGCGTTCTATTCAATCTCCTTAGAACTTGGGAGTGATGCATGGACGGAAATAGGGTCTCAGATGTGCATGTTTTCAAAGTATGCTCAGAATGTGCCATAGATGATTCTGTGATGAAAGTTTAATGTTTCAGACTGTTTGCGTATATATATATATATCAATATAACCTTTTCTCGTTGGGCTTAGGCCGTTTAGGTTTGAAGTTTGAACTGGCCATTTCAGGGGCACTCTTTTGCAGTGCCATAGCTGGGTTATGATGTGGATTATGTGGGATGAAAATATGCACTTTGAGCTTCGTGATCATGGGCGATGGGTATGTTTTTCTGCAGCAAAAAGGTGATATCGAAGTATGGAAAACTGAACAGGTTAGTATTTTCGCCATGATTCTGGCCAATTTCAAAATACAAATTCATGAGGAAGCACAATGCCGTCCAATTGCAAAAGAAATGAATGAACTTGAGAGGAGAGAGAGGGAAAGAAGAAGAAGAAGAAGAAGAAGAAGAAGATGTACACCAGCAAAGACCAATGATAATTCCCGTCTTCTCCCAAACCACTCTCCTCCTTTTCTCCTCCCCTCTTTATTCACAATAAATAATAATAATAATAATAATAATAATAATAATAATAATAATAATAATAATAATAATAATGTTGAATGGCTGAACCAGAATCAATGAATCCCTCATCTACTGCAGGTACAACATGAGGTCCACCGTAGCCATGGCCACCCTTCTCCTTCCTCTTCCGAAGGCTGAGGCTATGGCGGATTGCTAGGGCCTTTCCCTGCTGTGCAAAAGACAACTCAAAGCAGCTATGGCTGCTCTGGCTAAGGCCGCCATGCCTGACTCTGCCTCAAAGCTTCTTGATGTAGCTCTACCCCAATGGGGGCAGTCCGGATGCAGCGCCCACCAAGGTGATGAAGATGGCATCCACCATAGCTAGGTAAGCACCTCTTGCGCTCTCCCCTTCCTAGTCCTCGCATTTCTCCTCCTCCAGCCCGAGCTCCACCCCCATAGCCACGGTGGAGGGAGCTGAGCGCTCCGTATTCCCCCCGCAGCGCTGCTCCAGCCAGCGCTCCAACCAGTGTGTCGCCAAACGTGCACACCGTAGAATGAGGAGGAGCTCTTCGCTCCTCCAGGAGATATAGCGGCCTGCTTGCCTCTTGGGCGGTGACTTCCAGTCCGCACGGCCTCCAAGCAACTGGTACCTCCTCCCTTTCGGAGGGAAACATCATTGCAGACACGCTGATATTGCCCGTACAGGCCCTCGACTCAGGGTACTTGGACTGGTACCTGCCTAGACATAGCCTACAACTACTGGGCCTCTAAAAATGCCAACTTTTGTCTTCTTCTGCTCGGCCTCGAGTACCTGACATGTCTACCGCTACTTGCTGTGGTACCGGCCTACCTGCTACTTGAGTGTTTTTCCGCTGCTCTTAAGTGTTGCGTGCCTTTTTCCCCGCTGCAACCCTCGATGTCACTCACGGCCACAGGTTAGTACCGGCCCTTCGGGCCTCCTGCAAGATAGAGTAACCTTGCGGCCGACGCACGCACTCAAACCGACAAGCACTCAGACAGGCATGCAGACCAGCAAGCACGCACACACACAGACTTAGAAAACTCAGCAACAAGCGGGAAACTCAGCAAGGCATACATTCCATTGGCAAAACTCAGAAATCAGCTGTGTGTCTCAGTCCGTGTTTGGCAGGTCCTTCGTAATAAAAGGTCGTATTATAAGCAAGCTATAAGCATTTTGGAAAAAAGAAAAGTGGAGTTAATAACCAAGCCAATGTCACACATTTGTGCTAAACACTCATTGACGATGTTTTTGTTCGAAACGCCTGTATGCTGTAAAGCGCAGTGTGGGGGCTTAGATTGTATGGCTGTCTGTTTCCAGCGAGGGTGCTTGATCGAGAGAGCTCTTTCCCGTTGCTCTCCCTTGGGATTATCCTCTCTCTTTTTTTTTCTATACTTTATAATAAAGGGAATTGCGGGTCTCACGTGACGCCGCTGTGAACCCGGGGGCGCCATGTTGGGAAATTGGCGGCGGACAAGGTGCGGGCCCACGGGGAACTTGCACGGAATGCAGTTTGTTTTTTCCCGTCGGCGGGAGAATTCGAACTGTGGTGCTTGCGGGCCCAAGGGGAACTTGCACAGAATGTAGTATTTGTTTTTCCCATTCGCGTGAGTTCGAATAGCGGTGCGACGCGGAGGAAGAGTATGGACGCGGGGGGAAGTATGGCCGTGCGCCTTGCTTTCATTTCGGAAACTTCGTACGCGCAGAGGAAAATCGAAAACGGCTGCGCACCACCTGGAAGTTTTTCCACCACATCATGCTGTTGTCCGAATACACACACACACACACACACACATGACAGTGTATATTTCCATGTTCCAACGGTAGATTCAGCTCATCCTATCGATGGAAGTACCATGAGGTCAGCCGCGAGGTTGGAGACTTACCTGTTCTCTTCTCTCTCTCTCTGTCTCCCTCTCTCTCTCTCTCCATCCATAGGATGAGCAAAATGGGAATGAATCTGGCACTGGAACATGGAAATATACACTGCCACATTTTCGGTCTTTGGCATGTATATTTCCATGTTGTGGCAGTGGATACTTCCATGTTCTACGGGAAGACACACACACATACACACACACACACAAAAAAAAAAAAGAAAAAAGTGTGGCAGTGTATATTTCCATGTTCTGGCTGAAGATTCATTCCGGATTTGCTCATCCTATACACACACACACAGACCGACATTGTCGCGCTTCACCAAATGAGCAAAATGAGATTCACTTCCACACTTTTTTTTTTTTTTTTTTTTTTTTGTGTGTGTGTGTGTCTCTTCCCCCTAGAATGCAAGGAACCCGACTGTTCACCACTTGCTGGAGTGTTTCACATTGCATGCGTGAACACAGATCACACAGTTTGCATAGCCTCACACAAAGCTCAAAGGAAAATGAGTGGTCACCAGATAGCGCAATTCAATTATCACAACCAAATTAAGTAGAGAGAATCACAAGTTCAAAATGTATAGCGCCCACCAGAATTACAAGTCTTCTTCATCCAACATGAGTTCCTGGCCTGGCGCACATCAGCGCCAGCAGCCAATCATTAAGAATGGCGCTGAACAAGTAACACCATATCATTCTTCTCTTTCTTCTCTCATTGTCTTTCTTGTCTCTGTCTCTCTCTAAAGTCCTGGTCTACTCACACTCATCTTGCATGCACTCTCCCTATCACACAAGGATCTACTCTGAATACTACTCGCTGGTACTCCTACCAAGTTAGTACTAACCCTTCTACTGCTACTAACTTCTGCTGGTGCAGCTATGGCTGCTTCTCTCAGCCAGCGCCCAGCTCCCTTCTTCCTCCTTAGCGCAGCTCTCTAGCCTGCGCAGTTCACTAGCATTCTGGCGCACAAGTGCCTCAGCACTTCCGCAATCTGATGCCAGTGAGAATCTGCCCAATGGGAGGCTGGCCAGGTCCTTTATACGATTGGACTGACTGAATGAGGTCTGCGTCCAGTCTCCCTTCACCTGGGACTCTTACCCAGTACCAGCTGCTGCAAAATGTGTGTCCTAGTACCGTTTCCCATGGTCTGCCGCTGCTGTGGCCGTCGGGCCTGTCTTTTGGACTCCTCTACTGAATCAGATGTGACCCTGGGAACTGTGACTGGCCTGGGACTGTGACCTTTGACTTACTATTGAACAGACGTGACCTTATCTTTAGCACTAAAACAAAACACAGTGCCTGTTCGTCCAGGACCTGACTGTGACTTTGCACACGACTTTTCCTTTTCATTTGGGTGCGACCTTTGCCTCAAAGTACTTGTCTTTTGGAATGCTACACGTGAAATTAAGTTCTGGCCGTCGGGCCCCACTATGCTGGGGTACTCATTTGGGGTTTGAATCATAAAGGCCCTTTACTCTTGCCGGCCTAGTTTTGAAGTCCTCTGAGAAAGTTCTTATCTATCTACAATGTTGATTCCTCTTTTTGCTCGCTCATAGGCGGATACGATATGTGGTGCTGATTCGATTAGCTCTTCTCTGGTATACCAGCAATCTTCACTTGGATCTTGATATGCAAATCTGACTTTTACTCTCGCCTTGCACATCCGCGATGCAATCGGGCTTCATTCGAGGCCAGGTGTAGGAACACGAAAGATTAGCATAAGTCTTTTTCCACCCGAAATGGCCTTCAGTATCATGGCACTCCCCCAAGATCACACTTTTAATTTCTTCCACATCTGGAATACAAAGCCTATTGTGTACATCTTTTCTTTCAAACAATAGTCGTTGAGTCACTTGATAGTGAGGGAACTTTTGTGGCGCTTCCTGAATACGTTTTAGCATAGCGCCATAAACAGGTATCAGTGGGATACACATTCCTAATCTTATCTTGCATATCGCTGCCTACATCTAAATATGTTACAATAGCACCGAAAAAGTCGGATCTTCGACTCAAAGCGTCGGCAACAACATTGTACTTCCCTTTTACTGGCTTCAGTTCAAAGTCATGCTGATCAATTTCTGCAGCCCACCTTGTCAGCTTAGGTGTCATCCGGGCCTGCGTTTTTAGCCAGCGAAGTGTCTCATGATCTGAGTACACTTCGAAGTGGCGTCCTAGGAGATAATGGCGCCAATGATCCAAGGCTTCTCGAAGAGCAAAGAATTCTCTTTCATACGTGGAAGCGGCGACCTTCTCACTAGGCAGCTGTCGGGACATAAACTCCACAGGCCTATATCCATGTCCATCATCTTGTTGGAGTACAGCGCCTATCCCATACTGACTGGCGATGGTTGTAACCACAAAGGGCAAGGAAGGATCAGCGACTTTCAAAACCGGATAATTAATCAAACATTTCTTTAGACGCTTAAACGATGACGTGCAGTCTTGGTCCCACTTCCAGATTGTTTCTTTCTTTAATAGTCTGTGAAGGGGAGCAGCGATTATCGTGAAGTGTTTAACAAACTTATGATAACAGTTAGCCAACCCAAAGAACGATCGCAATTCTATCAGAGTGCGGGGCTTGGGCCAATCTCGAATGACTGCAATCTTTGCGTCTTACGGTTTGATTCCTTCTCCATCAAGAACATGCCCCAAATACAACACTTGTGGTTTTGCCCACTCATATTTTTTGAGGATCAATTTCAGCTTTGCCTCACGCAACTTATTTAGCTAGCACGAGTCGAAGGTGCTCACAATGCTCGTTCAAATTCTTACTAAAAATCAAAATGTCATCGAGGTATATAACGACAAATTTATCAAGCCACTCGGGGAAATGCTCATTCATCGTTCTTTGGAAGGTTGCAGGTGCATTAGTAAGACCAAACGGCAACACAATGAACTCATAGTGCCCATACGTTGTCCGAAAGGTAGTCTTGTATTGGTCTTTTGGTTCTACCTCAATCTGATGGTAGCCAGACTTCAAATCAATCTTAGTGAAGTACTTGCATCTCTGAACTCTATCCAATAGATCATCGAATTTTGGCAATGGCTTAGCATTCTTAATTGTTATGTCGTTCAATCTTTTATAATCTATGCACATGCGAACCCCGCCATCTTTCTTTGGCACAAATAACACTGGCGCGCCATAGGGTGAGGCGCTAGGTCTTATCCATCCCTTTTCGTCTAGCTGGGTTCGCAGTTCATTTAACTCTTTGGGTGACATCCTGTAGACTTGGCCCTTAGGAATCTGACTTCCGGGTATAATCTCAATGGGATGCTTATTGGTCGTTCTACCACACCGCTTGGGGCCTCTGCCACATCTGCGAATTCTTTCAGAATTTTCTCAACTTTTGGGGACTTTACCTCCTCATCTTCACCTTCCTTGATTGGGCGCACATATGCCACAAACACTTGATCATACAGATTATACTTCATTACATGGCGGGCGTATGCGGGGGCACTCGTGCAACAATGAGCTAAGCTGCTTTCCTCACCTGATTCATGATACGTACAAATTTTCTTCTTTCCACCCTGCGGGCTAGGGAGCCAACATGTGATCCCAATTTCACATGTGCAGCTTCCCCCCAATCTGTGCCTAAGAGAATGTCAAAAGGGAGACTGTCTTCCACCAAGAGAGTCGGAGAGTGGAGAACGCGTTCCACCTTTCCCTTTGCCTCGAGCTGAAAGTATGTCCTGATCCCCTCGACATATTTGTCCATCACAATTTCACTACTATTTGCTAATTTACTTACTACGGGCTCATCTAACTGTTTTACCTTTAGCCCGAGGCGCAGCTTTTGCAAACCTTACTTATATAGCTGCGTGTTGACCCATTATCAATCAGTCCACCTACTCTTACTTTATTAACTTCTAGATCTGCAATTATTAACTGTCCCTTATGCCTTTTCATCTCGGTCCAGGCTTTGCGACGAGTGGCCAACTCATCACCCATGCTAGGGAGGGATCCACCTAGAGAGGCGCACGCACTACCTACCTCTGGACAATTAACTTGGTGGGGATCGTCTTCCTTTTCAGTTTCTGCCAGGGGAACCTTCGGATCGGAGGATGTCTGACTGTCTACGTCCGAAGTTCCTGTAGAGGCAACCGAAACCCCTACTGTCTGTTCCCTTTTGGTACCTTGTAATTCGGGCAGTAGGGAACAATGTGGTTGGGGTCATCACACTTGAGACATTGGTCAGCAGCTTTTCTATCTTGCCATACCTATTCTGTAATCCCCAACTTTTCCCAAGGTCGGCCTTTTGGAAAACCGGAATGGGGTGAGAGGGACCATTGCCCCTTCCACCTACGTAGTAGCTACCTTCGCCACCCACCCCTCTGGGTGCCGGGTCCTCTTCCTCCACGTCCGCGGCTTCCTCTTCCTCGGCCACGGCCTCTTCCTTGTCGCCCTCCCCCATGGGCTGCAACAGCCACGGCTGGGGCCACTTGTTTTCTTAATGTTTTTAATGTATGCATGACTGTCGCTGCTTTCATTTCGGGGACCATCAGTCTGGTTAACCTTTATCTGGCATGGAGAGAGACAAAAGATAGTATGAAACAAAGACACGGGCATGGCTGCGAGCGAAATCGGTTGCCTCCTACGCCGAAGATAAGCGGCAACAAACAGCCTATTGATGTTGTGGAACAGTGGAATTCACACATTCCCAAGGGAAGACGAGGTGCCAGACGCGTCAACCTCGAACCTTTGAACATGAAACAATGATTATTCTTTTTCTGGCGCACTTCTACCAGTTTTCTGGCCTTCATTTCAAGCGGGACCATGCGCCCTCGCCAGGTAAGCAGAGGTTGTGCAGACTCAAAGGACCAAGTCAGCCGCATGCAAGGCATGTCTGACCTGTTACACGGGATGTGAGTGGACCCGCTAGCCAATCCGCACGAGGCGCTGTGGCTGCCGCTGCAATCGCTATCTTCTCAGAAAAACTGATGATGCCTGGGTTGCTTCGGGCTGGAGCTCTGCCTTCCTTGGGGTTATCCTTGTCCAACTCACTCATGCTGCTTGATTACACTTGAGTAATAGCAGCTCTTGTTTGCCCGTTCAGCAGGAGCAGCGACTGTGGTTGGTGGAAGTCGGAGAGTGTGCTGTCCACCTCCCGCCACACCGGTGGAAGTTGGGGGAGCCCTGCAGTTGATACGCCTGCAGAATGTGCATTGTATTTCATTTGTGAGACGAGTGGAAATGCCCCACGAAACGAATGTGCTTTTTTGCAGCATGGATGGCTGCAATATTATCCAACCTATCTGAATCTGGTGTTCTTTCCATTTCAGGTTGACGAAATTTTCATAAATTGCATAAAGGAGGCGGGACTTTATGATGAAATTTGGCAAGCTTTTGCTGTATTTTTGCCAATCAAGAGCGTTGGAGTCCAAGGGGATCAAAGGACGCATTCACATGTTGTTGCACTGCGTGCCATAACTAGTCATGATGGCATGACAGCAGATTGGTATATAACAGCATCCCAACATGCCCCTTCTCTTTGCTTCCTCCTTCTTGGCCTCATCACCCAGGCTGGTCCTCCCTCTGCTCATCCTCCCCTGTTTGTCCTCTATGCACATCCTCTCCCCGGTTGTCACCCCCTGTGCGTCCTCGTCTTCCTTGCCCTGCTCCTCTTTCTCCCCCTCCTCCTCCCTCCAACTCTCCTCCCCATCTCCCAACCCCTCCTCTCACTCCTCCCCTATTTATTTACTTCCCCTGTCCCCCTCCCTCTCTCCCTACTTTTCACCCTACTTGCTTCTCCCCATTCTCGGTCTGCCAGATCCCTCCTCTTCCCCATGATTTCTTCTCCCCTTTCTCTGCGTTCCACCGCTTCCTCTGTTCCGCTCTTGTTATTGTGCTTGTACGCATTAAATCACCACTACCTCTGAGCCCCATTTTGCCGAGCCGAATTCCCCCTGCACGCTATGCTTTGCCGAAGCGCCAGCGCGGCAGTTGTTCTTTTTTCTTTTGGCGGGCGCCGCCTTTCATTTTGGTCTGGTAGCGCCCGGCGTCTGAAGAAGCTGGAATGTTATGTTTTCAATCCTCGAAGTTGCCTGGGAAAGGTAGTGGCGGTTTAAAAGCATCCTCTGCGTAGCCGTCTCCTTGCTCATCCTCAGTATTTCTGCCGTCACTGCCTTCTGTCATCACCTCCTTCATATCCTTCGTTTTGAAATTTTTCTTAACTGGATCTTGTCGCCCATTCTCTCTTCAATGGGTGCACTCTCTTCAATGGGTGCAAGCTGAGTGACGAGGGTTTGCCGGTCCAAATATGAGAACAACATGAATGATGCTGCAGTGACAAGTCAATGCCAACTCTATGTAACACAAGCGTTCTGTCACTCGACGTTCTTGTTGTCATATGACAAAGATAAGTTAGTTGTCATCTATCTGTACTGTGTGGTTCTGTGATATGAACGCTGCCTGTATAGCAAGCTCCAGGTTGGATGAAGTGCGTAGAGCACCGTCAATCGTAGAGAGAAGATTCTGACTGTGGTGTTTGTTTTGGCCCACGTGTCCCATGCAGGTATCAATTCACACCGCAGTTTCTCGCTTCTGTATCGGCTAAGGTCTGCAATGGCGTCAGGGGCGTCAATCGGGTTGTATATGATATCACGTCAAAGCCGCCGGCGACTGTAGAGTGGGAATGAGGTGTGTTCCAATTTTGCACGTCTTGTGTTAGGCAAGGCTCAGTAGAGAGAGAGAGAGCACGGGGTCAAGTGTCGGGAGTCGGGACCCATTTGCATCCTTATCTCAGTCTTTCTTTGTCTACTGAGATGAGAAGGTGAAACCTTTGTTCCTTGTCAGATGTGGTCTGGTCCTGATGTGGCAGGGAGCGGATGGCACCCGATGTGGAAGAACATGGGTTTCAATCAATGAGAGTTTTGATGCTCCAGTTGCCAATGGAGTTGGGAAGCGGGTTTTGAAGATGCAATGGGACAATAGCGGACTGGAGAGAGACCAGACAAGGAAGTGCAGAGAAGGTAGGAGTTGTGAGTATGGATTTCTTGTCTTGAGAGTGTGGATTCACCAGATGGCTATGATGATATTGTCGATGGCGGTCGAGCGATTCCTGATGTACAGAGGTCTTACTGTTGTAGTAGTTGATTCCGGAAATTGCGCAGCAAGGATGATGGAGAACATAGTAGTCGTGGCATCAATTGCGCGGGCAAGATCACAGGGAGGTTTGTGCAGGATAGAGGAAAACTAAACTATTCTCTTGTTTAAATCATTTTCAGTTTTTCTCAGCACGGTGGAGGAAGAATAGGATCGACAATGCTTGTCAACGTTTCCCACTTGGAGGCAGTGCTGTTAAACCTGGTAGGACCGGGGGCCGCTCCCCCAACCGGAACCGGACTCGTCCTATTGGCCGGTCGACCGGCCTGGTTCCCCCCTGGTTGGCCATAGCGCATCAAAATTTTGTTATTGTTTAATTATTATTATTATTATTATTATTATTTAAGTCCAGGGTGTTTTAGAGGTCAAGGAGTAGACCCACGGTGATCGCTTGCAGCGGCAGCCAGTGGTTGTCCTGACAGCACAGGCCACCTTCCCTACCCTTCCCCACGTTAATACTCCCAGCGCACCTCCTATCCCGACTATCCTACCTCAGTGTGACCAGCACTCAGGACCATCACCCTACCAGTAGGTATCGAGGGCAACTTGGACCAGACAGCAGTGACAAGCACCATGGGGCCTTAACGCATCCAATCAGGGGGGTCTTACCGGTTTTCTTTTGGGCCAGGAGGCCTCCACGCCGGCGGTGCAGGTCTCCTGGCCCCCAAAAAAATCAGACCGGGTCCGGTAGGCCCACCAAAAAGGCTTGAAAAGGGTGGCGTATCTGGACCGCTGATCTCGAGATAGGCCGCCCTTTTCAAAGTTTTTTGGGTGGGAAGTACCGTCCCTACCCTGCGACTACCACCCCCATCCCGCTTTTCAAAGTTTTTCGGTGGAAGGTCAACGTTTGCCGAAAGCCAGGTACTGCTGAAGCCTGTGCTTGCCGAAACCACGCCACTAACACCCCGACCATAAACCCCCCAACCCCTGAAACAACCCCCCCCCCCCCCCCCCCCCCCCTCCCCGAACCCCCCAAACGAAACTTGTGTTCAAAGATTTCTTTGCGGATTCGGGGAGATCTCGGCGAGTGCAGTCCAACCATGTTTTCAAAATAAAAAAAAATTAAAAAAAATTGACCCACTTCTTTTTGCGCCCAACCGGAATTTCGGTTGGACCGCCTGGGGTCCAACCGGCGCCCGGTTGGATCCAGCCGTCCAACCGGCTGGTTGCCGGCACAGCCCTGCGTGGAGGTCTGTTTTTACCAGTGTTGTTTTTCTGTCATCTGCAAGGAGTACGTCACCTGAGAGTAAACCCAAGCCGGAAGGGAGATATGGTGTCCTTCTCTCTCTTTGTTCTGCCGTCCCCAACCCTCATGACCACCGTCACCACCGTCACCCAAGGTAAGACACAATGCTCTTCCTGGTCCCAATCCTCCCCAACCTCCTGCCACACTCCCCCATCCTCCTTGGTTGCATCTCTTTGTCACAGAGAGAGTGGTAGGATATCACTGCACGCACGTCGAGAAAAGAACCTGTGTGCAGGTATTCACCCACCCTCCCCTTTTATTCCTTCTTACCTCATGCGGGTCATTGAGGTGCTTCACTATTTTTCTGTGAAGTGGTATGATAAGGATTATGTTCATTAGCGGCTCTCACAGAGGTGCGTGCAGAGAAGCATATGCATAACACCTATATGAATTGAGATGAATCGCAAATGGATATTGGAAAGGGGGGGGGGGGAATGTTCAATTGCGGCTGTCACAGAGCTGCATGCGGAGAACCATATGCATAACACCAATATGGATTGAGATGAATCATAAATGGATGTTGATGGATGTTTGTTGCCAAAACGACTGAGATCGAGATCTACAGAGCGTAATAAATTGGACAGTTTTGTAATATGCATGGAGAGGTTCCTTTTATGTTTGCTCCTTTTCCCTAAGAAGAATAAGCTGAATAACCAACAACAAATCTGGTGTTCAACAAACTGTTTGGGAATTCCATGAAAGTTGCAATCATGTTTTACTAATTTTTTTGTGCATCTGGAGTGTAACGAAGTGTTTAGAAAATCCTTGCCATTGGGCCTCGCTGCACCATCGAAATGTGCAAAATGAGAGTGAATCTTCCGCTAAAACATGGAAAGATGCACGGCCATGATTTTTGTCTTTTGTGCCTGTCGAGAGTAGTGCAGCGAGCCCCATTGCTCTACACAGTCAGTGCTGAAACACAATAGGCTTTCCTGAGAGAGCATCTGACTATACGATTCCAGCTATAATAGATGGATTCCAGAATGTTACTTAGAATAATAAGACATGTTTACTGCAAGGCCCCGTAGCCTTGGCAGCGCCGAGCACGGCCCCCCCCCAATGGAATTTACCGGGCCCCAAGTAACAGCGGGGCATTTTCTATAATAAAGCAGGGCCCTAAGTCTAGGCCTAGGCCTTCGAAAGTAACTGCTGGGGCAATGAAGTGAAAGCCCAGGCGTATGGACAGGCAGTGGAAGCTGTTCAGGAGCTTTCTGTACTGTAAAAGCGGAGTCCTCGGCAAAACAACTGCAGCCGCCTCAATTTACAAAAGCATTGGAGGTGGCTGGTGGGGGACACACTTCTGTACTTTGGGTGAACGTTTTTTTTTTATTTATTTTTTATTTATTTTTATTTTTATTTTTTTTTATTTCGTGAATAGCAAGCCATCAACCACGAGAAACTCTTCGCTCAACTTTCTATCCTATGTAGTGAGGCTGCACTGAGGCATCCAGATTGTAAAATCAGGAAGTAGCACGAATAGTCATCTACCAAGCAGAGAGCACAATGCACCAAGATACGATCGGAATACGAGCAATACAATTAACTCGTATGCCAATGTCGACTCTCTCTGGCCACACCAACACAGTATCCAATGGCGCTCCTACTGTATTGCGCCCAGCGCCCCGTGTACACTACTCAGCCTGTCTACTACAGCTATCTTCGTTCGTGCAACTGGATCACATCGAAGTTGAAGACCAATGTATATGACGTCGTAACCAATGTCGACCGCCAGCATACACCAGCTAAGTTCTCTCCTCCCCTCATCCCATCTTGTGTCCTCTCCGCCTGCTCCTCCTACCCGAAGACCACGATCGCCATCACCTGCCACCGCATGCTTGGCCCGACTATGGCTGTCGTGCGCCCACTGCCACCGCAGCGCCCTCTCACCTCTTGCGCCCGTGTGCGCCTTGGCCTGCCTGCTGAGCGCAGCTTCGCATGGCATAGCAGCAGCGTGGCCGCATTGCCTCCTCGCTGCTCAGGCCAGAATGTCCCTGCCTGGGCAGGGCACTCTCCTTTATGCAAAGTGTGGCCCTTTGCAGTTGGGCACTTCTGCGCTGCTCTCCAGTGCTGCATTCTCATTGGCTCACGGTTGATGTGTCACAGCAATGCTGCATTCCCGTTGGCCCGCGGTCTTTGCATGATGCGTCGGCCTCCCATTGTGTGTGCCCAGGGTGCAACTACCTGAGCCCTGGGCTAAACTGTGCGTCACAGCTGCTGCTTATGGAAAGGCGTGCGGCAACCATCTGATCCCCCACTTATGAAAAAATGTCAAAAATAGGCCTCACGTGTGTGTACAGGCCCGCCTTCACTTAGGGCGGGGACGAGGCTTGCTGGGGGTCGCAGCCAGAACATTTGCCTGTCCGAGAAGGGGCTAGCGAGGGCTCATTCCTCGCATTCCGCCCCCCTTAGCTTCGAAAGTCCGCTGAGATGGTTTTATGCAGGTGCTTTCCCCTTCGAATTTCGTTCACACTCGGCGACGATTTGAGGTGTTGTTCTGATAAGCTTCTCCCTTGTGGACCAACGATCTTCCTTACGATCCGTATGATGCCTGAATATGAACCGGTACTCCATCGTGGGTTTTGATGGTCTTCCCTGGCCCACAGGCTTGGGTACAGGCACGTCTCTATGTTCCAAGATATCGTCGATGTCCACATGGCCATCCATGGTTGGGGGCAGCATTGATCTCCTCAATGGAAATTGATCGGTGAAGCTTGGAAGCATGACATACAGGGTAAGTGCACAGATGGCCAGGGATTGTTATGATGTAAGTGGGCCCGTCCAAATCGCTACCCACCATATCTAGAATTTCACAGGGACCAAAATACTCTGGCATCAGTTTCCTATAGATTCCCTGTGTGTCTGAAATTGGATCCAATGATTGAGCAGCCATTAAATTCTGTTGATTTGGCGTTTAAATGCCGAAACAATGGGTTTCACCGGGACCCGCGATGATTTTTTTTCGTGGGATAAAAAATAAAAAACAAAAAACAAAAAATACGGGGTTGTAGATCTTTTTGAGGTCTACAACCTCTCATTTTTATTTTTATTTTTATTTTTTGAGCTTTGACTATATTTAAAATATATTAAAAACATGAACACAATGAAAAGAAAACAAAATAAAAGATGAATTGAGTTTTTTTTTTTTTTGGTTACACAGATATTTTCAGGGCTAAAAAAGAAGCAGAAAATCAAATCAAAAATATAGGGTTATAGTCTTATAGAGTTTTTTTTTTNTTTTTTTTAATTCTTCTCTCAATTTCACCTCACACTACCTACCTACCACTACTACTTGTAGGCATAGGGGGAACCCCGTAGCAGCCAGAACCGTGTTCACGAGAGAACATGCAGGGGCTGCTCCCGACCTGCAGGTGGGTGATACCGGCCAGGGGACAGCCAGTAGCATCAGGGACCATGCCAACAGGACCAATCCCTGTGCCTCCCCTCAGGTCCCCGCCCCTAAGAACATCAGCAGACTCTGCTTAATGCCGATCGGGGGATCCAGTGATATACAACATTTGTTTTTTTGTTTTTTTTTAAACTTCATGTATTTAAAAAACAAAAAAAAAAACATAAAAGCAACAACAGAAAAACAAAAACAGACACGCATGCACACACACAGACACACAACACACACAACACACACAAACACACGTAAACACACACATGCACACACACACACACACGCACGTCAACAATCATGCCCGCACACACACACACACACACGATGTGGTGAGTCCTTATCCATCACTCAAATGTATCCTGGGCAGACTGTCGGGGTTCAACCTCCTGATGAGTCGGGGAGAGTCCGACAAAACAGTCTGGTACAGTCATGCTTTTTTCGAGTGTATAGCGAATATGACAACACACGCATACAAACACACACATACACAAACACACGAGCATACATACATATTCATGCACAGACACTCTCACACGCAGGCGCACACGTACACACATACACGCACACACAGCACACCTGCACACACATAACTGGGGCCTTGGGGGTTGGGGGATGTGGGGGTGGATGTCTTAGAGGGCTTCCGGATAGGTTTGGGGACTGGTG